TACTGGATGACCTGTATCTCCTCAAAATCAAACGACTACCCCCGGGGCCGCTCTCCCTGCCCATTATAGGGGGATTGCACTTGCTGGGCCAAGAGCCTTACAAGAGTGTGGAAAATATGGCTGCCAAGTATGGTGGCATCTTAAGCTTACGGATTGGGGTACGAGAAAGAGTTGTTTATGTTACGGATCCTGACCTTGCCAAACAGGTATGTATAAATGTTTCATTCAAAATATTGATGTTAATGGAGTGATTAAGGGCAAAAAATAAGTTTCAAGGTTAGAAAATCCCCCTTCCTAAAGAGCCAAAGAAATTTATATAGAAATGCAAATCATGAAATCTATATAAAATCTGAATATTTATTAAATCAACTTAAAATAGAGTATGTAGCAGTAATGAGTATGTAGCGAAAATTAGAATGTAGCAATAACGACAATTTTGAAAATGTAGCAGTAATGATACACACCCTCTGGTACATACGTCATTGTAAATTTAAACCCCGATGACAAAATCACTGAAAAATGATATGCACTTTACAATACATATAATAAAGGTAAGAAAAGCACTTAAAATATGATATTCAAAAACATATGAGCCAAAAAAAAATATAACAAAAGAATGAGTAAACCTCCATAGCCAATCAGAAACCAGAACAACTATTGTCAGAGAAATGTGAAAAATGCCACCAACAGAAAAAATGTGAAACATTCGGGGATTAGGTACAAGTTCATTTGGGAGAAAACAAGGATAAAGTTTTTAAAATATGTACAGTATTATCTGAAGTGAATGTACTTTTGCATTTATTCAAGTTAGAGTTTCATAAGCAGACTTGTTGAAATCCTTCGGTCCTGTCGGCAAGGCCGGTAAAAATTTGTCTGGACCGATAACATTTCAGAAAACATCAGTCCAGATGACCGTTTGAAAAATACTTGAGCATAATGCAAATTTAATAAAGGTCGGGTTCGGAATGAGTACTTAAAGGTCACAGACACAAAAAAATGGCCGCATACGCGGCGTGTTGACAACAGCCAAGTAAATTTGTTATAACAAAGTCATAAAACATGTCATTTATGTCTATGTTAAAGACTCTCTATCCCAAGAAAGGAAACTTGTTAGATTGAAGGCTATTGAAAATAATAAGGGGCATTTTGGTGCTGTTATTCATTTGACTTTCTCAGTATCAAAATAAGGTAAAGCATCTGGTTAACAAAAGTTTGACTGGTACAGTATTATTTGTCAGTGAAATGTCTGACAGTGATTAAAAAATTTCTACAAGTCTGCATAAGCATAATATACCTCGTTTTTTATACACCATGCATATACCAGAATGTTAACATAGCTTTGAACCCTATCAATTGATCAAGCAAGTAATTTTCACTAGACAAAAATTGAAAGAATGTATTGCAATTGCAGCAATACGAGGGGATATCAAAGAATTTGTGGATTAGCTGATGCAATAATTAATACTATTTTTAAAATCATTGATGACAAGATTAATAAGGATCAAAAAACCAACAAAAGTTTAAGAATTATTGAAATTTTCAGCTTGATACCTTGATAATTTTCCAAATTATCATTAAATAAAAAAAGCATTACATGATCACCCCGCGCTGTCGTCATTGAGTTTCATGATTTCCGACGTCATGTTCGCTCCATCGTTTCAAGCCACGGTCTAGAGTCCGCAAATAGCTTTCTCCTACCCATGATGTTTGATTAAAAAAAATGGCTTAATCTTGAATATTACCGACTCTCTATTGTGATGTTATATTCAGTCAATGACAATTTTAGTTTCCATGGCAATTGAAATCAACATTAATAGTATAAAAAAGGTTTTTGGTACACTGTGATTGGGTACTTAAAGGTCACATCAAAGTTCATTATCCAACTATGCTTAATACTCGCATTGGTCAATATTTTAATGAGTTACGAAATATTCTCTTCTCATTCAACCATGGCCAGAATGGGAGAGGATCCTACATTTTGGCCATGGTTTGCGACAATTGTCAGCTCCCTCTACATACTCTACTTATCTTGATTAGGAGATTCCCTGAAATTCAGTAAAGACCTAAACCTGTTTTATTTTCAAAATTTTACAATGTCATAAACAGCTTATTTCAATGCATATAATTTTGTAAAGGGGGAAAGATAGTCACTTGATTATACCAGGCTGAGCATAATTTGCTTGTCGGTGTTCAAAGTCTAAAACACAAGATCAACGTCACTTTTCCATGTGACTGATGACAGCCTGTCTACAAATCAACATAAACAATGTGTCTCTTCTCTCTCTGTATCTATATCGGCACTAAAAAAAGTATTCGGGGTGCATTTTATTTGTCGATCTGCAGCAAATTGTCTGAGCAATTACCAGACTTTCAGATGCTAGATGCTCATATCAAGTTTTTCTCAGTAGCACTCAGGTAGAAAATATATATGTTCTAGGCTGTGCAGCCTGGACATACTATACTGCTTATAAAAACATTCACAATTCATCAAAAATTAAAACTTATGAGTTATTGTTTACTTTGTAGATAGAAAAACTGATGCTTATTAAATATTTAAAAATTCACTGATGTACGTACCTCAAGCGGTTTTAATTTTACCACACTAGTCCACAAACTTTTTGATAACCCCCTCATGTATGCAAGGTTTTCATGTAATATTATGATTAAGCTATTTTTTACAAAGCAATTCAACATTTACCTTTTACAAAGTACCCGGTATATGTCAACCTTACTCAGTCTATTAGTATATTAAATGATATTAAATGATATAACAAGGATGAACTACATTGTTTACTTTCAGTTGCTTAGCTCGGAGTACTTAGCAGATAGACCCTCCTTACCATTTTTTGACATAATATCTAAGGAAGGTCACGGCATTGGTTCTCGCCCCTATGATTTCACATGGAAGCTCCATACCAGGATAATCTACAGTAGCATCAGTAAACTTATACAAACTCAGCTGGACGATGTTTTACGGAATTCCTGGGAATACTTATTCAAAACGTACCTCTAATATTCTTTCTATCATCTGCATACTATGATACACACATCCAAAAAAAGTTTATAATAGTGAATACAGTCAAAAGTACCAGGTACTTACTTCCATTAAATTTTGGAAAAAAAATTCTATTTAAATGATCAAAATATATTTTCTTCTGTGCATAAATCACCACTTCACTGCCAATGGAATTTATTTATGGTAATACCTTGACATATGTTTAAACATGTATCTAAGAAAAAAATCAGGCTGTCCATTTTTCATTATAATTTCCAGACTTGAAGATTCAAAGGATGAGCCTATTTCACCAGAGACAACAATACGCACTGCAGTTATGATGACCATGGGCAGGTTTATTTTTGGACATGAATATGCCTCAGCAGATGACCCTAAACTGCGGCTCCTTCTTTGGTTAAATGAGGAAACTATGAGGGGAGTCAGCCCTTTGAACCATGTCAATCTCATCCCTGGATTACAGTATATCAATCTGCCATTCTATCCAAACTACAGGAACTTAAACATGGTACATGATATGCTGTATATTAATGACTTATCTTAAATATACCTTTAAATTATTTCTTTCATTACATTTTCATGTCATAACACATATTTATTTTACATAGGCTAAAGAAAATTTTCTAAATGATGAATTCGAAAGCCACAAAAAAAAGTTTGATGGTCGAACGGTTGACATCATGGATATGATAATAAAGGAATTAAAGGAGGATGAAAAGGATAGCATGAAATTCCGACAAAAACAAAGAGAAGAATTCCTCCTACCTCAAAATTTTCTCATGTCCATATTTACATTAATTGTTGGAGGTATAAAGTCTTCTTACTGTATAGATTTCTTATTTTTCACGAGTATTTTTATCGTGAATGGGCTCTTCAACAGCAAATCGCGAGAATATGAATTTGTGAATGGACAGTTGATAAGAGATTTAATATAGATTTCAGCACCATAAAAAGAAAGGCGAGGAATTTAATGTCGCATGTGATGCTTCTCGCGAAATTACGCGATAATTAATTCCACGCATATACGAGGGTTGTTCGAAAAGTTCGTGGACGATGTCAATCTTCGTTATATTACTCACTGGAAATTCAAAACAACCACATTATAATATGTAAAAATATTTGTTTTGTTGATGTGTGAAGTTTCATTTCATTCGATTTAACACAAATAAATTTAATTCATTTTAAAATCAACATGTTTTGTACCCAGTTGATCATACCTATACATTTCACACAGAATATTCCAATGATCATTAAATTCTATTTTTAATACTTGACATTTAGTTTTTAAGAATTGATCTCATTGTGAAATTTCCTTTGTAAAGGTTTTAATTTCTTTTAGTACTCAAAATCTGCTATCACAGGATAAGCAACTCTGAAGCGCTTTTGTCTTTCATTTACGTTTCAAATTTTAAAGTTTTGTTCAGATGTTTACAGTAAAACCGTTTCTTCACAGGTCATTCTCATCCGATACGAGTCTCTGTCACTCAAATATTGCCTGCACTATTTGTACACACATGCACAACTCGATTGTGACATATTTTCCTGATTCCTATAACATTTTTTAAGTTTATTCAGAATTTTACCAGAGAAAAACACAAAATTGCTTCGGTATCTGGTGCTCCGTGACGCTCTAAAACGTCATCGTTTTTTTTCGTTTTTAATAAGGACTACTTATCTTCTCAAGTTGATTTCTTTTCAACAAAGCAAAATATAAAACCATAATTTTGTACACGTATCGATGTAACAATTCTTAATTTGAATTTCTAGGTAGTTTTTAATTTTTCCTCCATTTTACAGAGAATATGACTATAGTCATTATTTATTGTAAAATGACCTTCTCCGATTTTTGCATTTTTAAAATCTGGATAAGTTTTTAATCAATCGTAATATTTTGTCAAAATTAATACATATCATTTGGATTTATTGTTAAAATATGTCTACCAAATTTGGATAACATATGACGTCTAATAAAAAAGATATGACAGTTGTCCACGAACTTTTCGAACAACCCTCGTATTTAGGAATTTACAGTATTTCAAACATGAACATTTCTGGTATAGCTAAAAAATGTTCTATCATTAAAGTGCCAAGGGCATTTAAAAAGAATCTGTGATAGTGAATACTTATTTTGGAATGAAAAGAATGAATATTTTGTTGTAAGCTTGACTTCATTATAAGCATGCTTGCTGTAAATCACACACTTTCAAGGGCCACAATGCTTCTGAGTCTTCCTCAAGTCAAGTTACAACTTACAAGAACTGGTATAAGCAGATGAAGAGTCAGCATGTCTAGCATTATACCGACTTGTTTTGTAGGGGAACAAACTCTATCAAACAACTTACTATGGCTTCTGCTGTACACAGCGAAGCATCAAGACTGCCAGGAGAAAATAGTGAAAGAGCTTAGAAATAATGATGTACTAGCCACGGACTTTGTACAATTTCACCACAAAGAAAAATTTCCATACACAAGTAAGTCATAGATGAAAGTATTTTCATCACAAAGTTTGAGATTTGTATGCAATCTCTCTTCATTTAAGCAGCTGCATTTCAGATATAATCCAGCTATTTCATTTCTTCCAATATTTGACATTTTTTTAAGAATAAATATTCAAATACATGTAAAAAGCATTAGATAATTTGAAATGACCAATATTCAGGACTGCAAGACAACTGTCTTCCTCATTTAGTCCTCACTTGTCAGCACTGTTCACAGTTCAAATCTCATCAAAGTGACTTTCCATACTCTTCTTTTTATAACCTTATAAGTCACTATGCAATTAATGTTGATCAATCACATAAATATTAAAAACAATCAAAACTTTGAGTTGTTCAATTATATTACTAAATAAGTATGATAAAAATTGTGCTGGGTAATTGTAATTTTTTTTTCATTTTCTGCCATCATTTAATTACAATAGATAACGATATGTAACATGAAAGTTCAGAGCTTTCAAAACTCATTATTTTAAAACTCCAGTGAGATAATTAGATTACTTTTCTATAAACACTGATAAACTTCTGAACACTGTCTCATCCTCCAACTTTAAACATGTTTGACTTTCTCGAGAATTCTATTTGAAAGGCATTCCTTTTCTAAAAGTCAATAGTTAATAAATATATTTTGCTGTAATTTTTTTTTTTTTTTGCTTGCAGCTGCTTTTTACAAGGAAACCATGCGATTTATCACAACAACGTTTTTTGGAGTTCCCAGAACAGCCTCTGCGGATATCCATGTTAATGGATACACTATTCCTAAAGGTTTACATTTATATATTCTCATAATTCTATTCTATTCTTAAGGCTGTGTAAATTAATTTCTTGATTTCATTTCTAGCTTGCAGAATTTAATACCAGAAAATAAGAATCAGCAGCCACATACAAAAAGCACAGGCGTTTGTTTCATACAGTACGCTTGTTCCGTTCTGGAAAAATTTATGTATTTGATTTTGGTGTTTATGTTCAACTTACTATTCCCGCTCCAAGAGCTTTTCATGTGTACAGATTTTATTGATGGTGGTTTACAGACCTGACAGTGTATGTACATTTGTAATTTCATTTTCATCTTTATATAAGTGATAATTAGTGCCCTTTTTTCTTTATCTATGATGAATTAAATTTTATGCACTTGAATATTTTGTTTTGAGTGAATTATTAGATGTTGTTTGTGTACTCCCTGGCCTATTTGCATGTGCTACATTGTATTGTTTATGTTTTGTCATTGTAGCATCTACGGTTTATTCCTACAGAATAAATTACGTTTACTAGCTCTCTGTGTTCACAACTTTTGGGGCAGCATAACCCTAGTTTTCCACTATATAATAACACTGTAGAAAACTAGCGTACTGCATGAAACATGCGCCTGTGACGAAAAAGTCAGGAGATAAACATGCATTAGTACATGCATTAGTACATGTTTTGTAGAAAATTAATTTGATTGCATTTTAACATGAAAGGAAAAATTTGTTTTTTCTTTAATTAGTATTAAAAATATGTAAAATTTGAATTAGTTGTTTAAAAAGAATATTAAATATATAAATGCTTTAATGAAAAAAAATAAAATCCCCCTTTTTAATCCCATATGATTGTATAATTTTTATTTATTTCAACAAATAGCATTTTGTTCTTGTGGCTTGATTATTATGCGAAATAAATTCATTCATTTTATTGTACAATGTATTACAAAGTTTAAAAAAATCAATGTAGCATTTTTGTATATATTTATATCTTTTTAAACTAGGTACAACAGTTTTCCCAAACTTTTGGAGTATAAATCACAATGAAAGATACTGGTCCAAGCCACATGAATTTCAACCAGAAAGATTTCTTGAGCTTGAAAATCTACATTCCTCAAATATTCCAGGCTTTATCATCTTCGGATATGGCCGTCGGCCTTGCATTGGAAGTCAAGTAGGCCGGGCTTGTCTCTTTTCATTTCTCTGCAATATTATAAATAAATTCCATGTTTCCCTCCCCCCTGACGAAGATCCTGACATGAGAGGCCATACCAGATTGGTTATAGAGCCCCCCAGTTTCAAGGTGATCTTTCAAAAACGCGCTTAACTTTTAATTTTTGTAGCTGTATTCCAATCTTTCAGAGACATCAACAAAATAAATTAGAATCAATAACAATGAATGATCATGTATTTTGTTACAGTGTACAACATACTTTGACTGAACTTGTTTTTTGGTCATTTTTAATACCCAAGACTTCAAAATATAATTTGACCTAACAAATGTAAAGAATTACACTTAAAATGAGACAGAATCATCCGTCCTTAAGAGTAAGTTATAAGCATGTTTGATTCTACATTGTTGGTGTTTTAGCCTGCATTTACTCTTTTTCAAACAGAAATGTGGCATCATACAGCCTATAGAAATAAATGAATGAATCATAATTAGTTATTCCCAGGAGGTAATTATTTCTTGTAAATTTCTGATTAACTCCAATAAAAAGTTCATTCATTCTTTTTTTTGTATTTAATTTTTGATAACTCTGTACCTTTGAATCTAATAAAATGTTATATATAGAAAAAATATTCCTTGTTTTGATTTTTCAAGTCAAACTGCTTCAGTATCAAGTGACTTCCTATCTAATGGGAACTTATACATTCCTGCATACTTTCTATTTTTTTTATTTAACTGTTAAAGACAGTTAACTCTGGCAAAATCTTGAGACCATAAACAGCTTTATTTCAATTTTTGACACTGAAAAGTGAAAATACCACAGACATGCTTTGATCAGAAAAGCTTACTTGACTCCATACTTCATGTGACCTTAATTAAAACTTACTTTCACTCTTCAGTAACATTTTGACATCCTCCACCAGATTTTCGGCACTGAAGTGAGGCACCATTCCGACACTTCCCAGGAGCTGGGCTATTTTCCTTCTGACCAGGGCCTCCTTTTCTTGTTGGAAATGTTCTATAAGTTCCTGTGTAACATTAACAAGCACCTGGTCTCCTTCAGTGAGCCTCTCCTCAAACGTCAGTAACTGCTGCAGAGCTTGCTGGGAATTGGCTACGCCTTGTAGATTAAGATGAACTTCTTTTGCTTGGGGTCCCTGCACCAGTTTAAGCTTCTTGATGGGCTTTGGTTCTTCCTAGATGAAATTAGATATCATACATGCTTAGCAATGTTCATGGAATACAAAATACAGAAATCCATCAGGGTATTTTTCTATTGTCCATTTTATGCAACTATGATAACACAAAAACAGTATGATGAAGTCTCGCTATCAGACAATACACAGCAATATGCAGTCAAGCCTTATTATCTTGAACTTGATGGGACCGAGATAACTTTGAGATACTGAAGGTAAAAGAATTCAGAAATATGTGGTTAGGACTTCTCAATCACTTTGATATATCCATGGCATTCAAGATATTCATGTTCTTGATACCGAAGTTCAACTGAATTTGTGTATTCTTAATGTGTCTTACAGAGATTCAGAAGTCAAGCATAGTATTTCACCTTTTCTTACCACTGAGAGAAATAAGATACATGTATATGCAAATGAAAATTTCGACATAAGAATATATGTATTTTATCCCATTTTACTGGTAATAAAAAAGATGGTACATCAATTAGTTTTCCGATGTTTACTTCTATAGAAAAGACCATCCATTCTTACAAATGTAATGGGAATATTATTAATATGCAATACTGACAATTAATCACTGAAGTACATATGGTTGTACATATATTTTAATGCATTGTAAACTCCCACTTCTTTCTATTGAACATTCTAAATCTGAAGATGTCTTCACCAGATGAACTTTGAAATTTTTTTATGCATGTTATTTTTTTGAGTTTGATTCACAAATATTTTCTTCATCTATTTAGAGCTATTTACCATTTGCTATGATTACAATATCTACATATACACTGTTATTCACTGAATTTTTAACATCCTTTATTTTAGCACAAAAATTACCAAAAATAGAAAAATGATTTGAAGATATTTATCTTTATTTTGATCATATTGATTAGGGGTACCATGGTTACATCTAACTCCCATTCAATTTCGGCCCCATCCCACTCTTTGAAGCCTATAAAATATACAAGCACAAGTACATTTTTCTCCTTCAGCTATTTTATTGAAATCAAGTACACTTTTCTCCTTCAGCTATTTTATTGAAATCTACATATACGTTAAAGGTGAAATTGTACCTAACTGCATTCAAATGTTGTGTTTAAAACATTGTAATATCTAGCTGGACTTCCCCATTATGAACAGATCAATGAAACATACATAAATAAATTCATATGCTTTTCCAAGCACCGGCATGACTTTCTAACAGACCAATGAGCTAAATGAGTTGCATTAAGAGTGAGCACCACAAAAACATAGGGAAGTTGAATTGGCTACACATATTTCTGAGTATCGGTGAATATAATTTTCATGTGCATTTCTTCACCCAAAAAGGTAAACGCTGAGGTTCCACATGTATTATCATGGATAAAAAGACTCTGATAGTCATTTAAAGTTTGAAATGTAGTAGAAACAATGTGTCTGTGATAAAATGTAAACATGTAGAATACCAACACATTTTGTCCCTCAATGTCCCTCTGTCAATGGATTGGACATTTGATTTCAGTAAGTTACTTTGTGCAAAATAATAATTATAGCCATGTAAAGTACTGGTAGATTCCTCTGAATGCATATCGCTATATTGTACTAAGGTCTGTCTTTTCTTTTTTCATTAAAAAAATGTATTTTCGCACACAAAAAGGCTATATATTGCTGTCACTGCTCAGTCTAGAAAATTTTTGAAAAGGGCAGTAATCCTCATAAATAAAATGTGTCAGAACTATTAAAAGGCATCATATTCACTCTTGTTTGAAAAGTATACAAATGGTAAAATAAATATGATTCATCATAGAAAAAGGGGTCGCAGAATGTTGTTTTGGTACATCAATCTTTTCCAAAAATATTTCGAGAAACAACCATAATTTCTTAAGAACCCTCTCGACACTGCACACTAAAGAGCTCTGATTATATAGCATTTTTTTGCAGTTAGATTGATCCGCCCTTATTACTTAATTCCAATAAATAGAAATTTACAGTATATGACTTAATTAAAGTATTCTTAACGTTTTAGAAGGCCAAGATTAATAAATTTGTCATGGGTCTCCCATCTCAGGATATTATAACGCAACACAATAGTTCCTCAATAAAGGTTTACATAATTTATTAGCTGACAATTACGATGATAGATGAAATATAAACGAACGAACAAAGGTGACCTACAATGAAAATGACACACTCGTACAAATTCACACACACTAATATTTATTTAATTTCAATAGTTAAAATCAGTATTAATATTAAATTATTCTTACCAGTCACATCAATTAAGGCACTAAGATTCCGTAAGGAATTTCTCAGACAAACTGCTACTGGATTTCTCGCAGGAGAACATCCAAAATTATCGTCAATGTATAGTCAAGATTGAAAAAGAGATAGTCCATGCATAAGTATATATACCAGGATTCACACATGCGTACATAACTACCACACCCCATACATACTGGTTTTACAACTCACATCCAGGATAATAATAGACCACAAGACAATTACGTGTCACCCTGTGACAAATTTAACACATTATTTTCATGTATTTTCTCAATGAAAGTAAAAAACAGTGATTTCTGGCCATTGGTACTGTGTTGCGTTTGAAGATTTTTCCTAGGGGTAAATGGCATGTACCATAGATTTGAAATTAATTAGATAAGCTCAATATTTGCACATTTATTCAATATAATTTTCTCAGTGTCCCAAAAACATTTTGCACTGGTGTAGAGAGGGTCCTTAAGGTAAAAATACTAACACATATACACCCATCAGACTTATATTCCCTGATATACCTGTACTACTTGGCTAAATTCTGCAACAGCTCTTTTCTTTAGAAGTGCTGCCATGTTAAAAATGCTTCTCTTTCTCCTTCATAGAGTCTGAAAAATATTCAAATATTCAGCAGTTCTTTTATTTTCAAGTTGTCTGCTAAAAAAAAATATTATATGTAGCTAGCACAGCAACTCTATAGAGAAGTGTGCTAAAAACGAAAGAAATTAAATTCCTATGTTGATCCTGGCTTTCACGTTTTGATCCTTTAAATTTCAACAGCTGAACATTAAGAAAATCAAGATTTAGTACTTACAGAAAACTCAAAGAACAAAAAAAAAAGTAATATTTTCTCACAAGGCCCACGGTCTCTGAGTACAATGTACTATGTTTTTTTCAGTCTTTGATGGTTTGACCACATTGGGACCATCTCGAACTACAGTGGAGTCGCCAATTCCGGGTTGTCTCCAATTCCGGGTCACTTGCCTGTATTTTATGCCTATAGTGTTAACATTTAAGCACAAAAAACTTAATGAATATGATGGTCATGAAGAACTGGTCTTTCTGTTTGTAATTAATTACAAAATTTTAAATTTCACGTTTAAGAGAGCATCCTACAGTCGAAATTCTGAAACGCACCCATTAAGAACTTAGATGTTTCTGCTGCGGTGACGGGCTACTTTCGTTTTTGTTCGCTGCAGGAAGGCTGATATAAAAGTTCTAGATAAATAATAAGAGCTCAAAAGTATGGCAAATGCATTTAGTTTTAACTCAGAAATCAATCATAATGATCACTGCTCAAAAAAAATTATAATGATTGTTAAATCTAACTGTATTATGTTCTCCAATTGCGGGTCACGCAATCTCGTGGCATGAACATGTCAAAATTCTATGTACAAAACCAATTGACAACCATGTATTTACCTTGATTATCAAAAGTATTCTAACTGGAATATATTTTTTCTAAAAATTAAAATCGAGTTAACCCTTCAGATGCATTATTTAATAAATGAATTTAATTGTATTATTCTTAATCCTAATACATTTTTTTTAATTCTGCAGACTGCAATTTGTTTTGTTGCAATTGTTTTAAAAATAATTTAAACATATTTCTGTGGTTGTTTTACTTTTTTTCCAAGCTGCATGAATTGTTTTATGTTTCAACATCATAATAATCGTGTTCCAGAACGTTCCATGAATATTACTTGAACATGAAGTCACCTGACCCGGAAATGGAGAAAATGATTCGTAACTGGGGACGCAAGGCCTTGCTGAAATACCCCTGTATATATTGTTCCCGTGTAGCTATTTTGAAAACGAAAAGGTGTTTGGATGACTCACTATTTGTTCTTTCAATACATATATTGCATAAATAGAACAGATTTGCAAAATATCCACGAAACACCCTGACATGACTCGGAATTGGCGACTTCACTGTATATGAATACTGCACTCACTCCCACTGGTCATATTGTACAATACTAAAGCACTGAATTAAGATAAACAATAGATTTATAAATTCAGCTCAAGAGATTCTGAGCAAATTTGAATCCAATAAATAAACCTTTAAAATATAAGAAGTGGAAGCATTATGATGTTGATCATATACATTCAACGTTTTCAGGCATCAAACGGTTCCAATTTACTAGGAATAACAGTGTGAAATAATTAAAAAGATATAATTTTACCTAAAATAATGAATATATTCGATGTTATATGGATTGAATTTCATACAATCTGTTTTAAATGAGTTTAACTAAAATGAATATTTTTCCAAAAGACATTGGCGGCCATCTTGATTTGATAAGTAAAACATAAAATACTCGGATAAAGCAATAGTAATAATGAGCTAGGATTATGCGTGTGTATTTAAAAATTATGACGGTTACCTCAATAAATTTATAAAATTCCATATAATATTTAAGTAGCATGGAGCAGAGATCAACAGGGGAAAAAATTATTTTCCATATACAAATAAGTACAACCTGTCAAAATATATACTGCGTCTGCATGATAAAAACGTTTTAAATCTGATAGTTTAGCCAGGCAAGTAAAGCTTGCTTTTGACTTAGAATTATTGTAAACACGTGTGAGGGAAAATGGGAAAAGAAAAGAAAGAGAAAAGAAAATCTGAGGGCGGCGAAGAAGTAGAAGAAAAGGACGGTAAAGAGGCTTGGATAGAAAAAACAAAATATCTGAGTCCCATTTCCAAACCACTTGCTCCTAGAAAACTCACTAAAAGACTTTACAAAGTAATCAGAAAAGGTAAAATGTTTATTTTGGAAAGCATTTACTCAAGAGTGGAAAACCTTTTCCAATAGCCAGTTATTTGGACTTGCAAGAAGACAAAATAAGCCGGTCTGAAGAGATTTTATTCAGTCCTAAATCAGGGCTCCCACTGGACCGAAAATATTTTTCGCCACTTTTCGCAACACAAGCTTTAAGAAAAGGCATACTTACATCTGATTTCTCGACAATGCAATGCACTTTTTGTTATTCAGTTTTTTTATTATGTTTATCTGACACAGATATTGTTTTAAAATTGTAATGATTAAAGCTTATGGTAGTATCCATTTAAAAAAAGAAAAAAAAATAATAATGTTGGAATTACACAATTAATTTGATATTGTATTGATATCAGACAACTCTTGACAGAAAATGTCCTCTTGTTTACATTTTTTTCGCCTGGGAAGGAGGGGGGGGGGCGGGGGCTACAGACCTAGTAAAAATATGACATTTTTTTAAAAAAATAGAAATTTTCATCATTTCATTAATCAATTGTGAAAAGAAGTAAATTAAAAAGTAATGAAAATTAGGTTTGAAACTTAACAACTTGGAGACTCCAGGGTTTAATAATTATGCAAGCTCATGTTATTGTAAATAACTCAGTGTAATTTACTAACTAAAGATAATTCTGTTTCCAAACCAGTTTCTTTTTCACCCTTTGTCAGTTAATAGTATATTAATGTATACTTTTTTAAATTTACTTTAGGCAAAATTTGAAGCCATTCTTTACAATTTTCGTCATGTTTCCCTACTTTCGGATTTAAAAAAAAACGATCTACATAGATCCAGATTTTGTTGATAAAAATCTTTTATTTACAAACTTCATCTCCGAATAACACTTTATCCCCCCTTGTTTAATCCAAATTATATTATTTCAAGCAATTTTGTAACCCTTTATTGCTCCAGCTAGTTACCTAGTCAGCACTGTTCGTTCAAGCGAGACGTGATTTCCTGTATGTAGGTTTCAGTTTTCACACCTCTGCTGCATTAAGTAAACAAAGGGACGTATCTGTGTACATTGAATAAACAAAGGAGCTAACCAGGACTACACAAATTTTGTACATGGTACATCTAAAAAATTAATTTTCGCCACTTATGAATTTCTTTTCGCCACTTTTGAAAAAAATTCGCAATTGGCGACAATGGCGAATCACAGCTCGAGCTCTGCTAAATTTTCTGTCGCATAAGCAATAAAAAAAGAGCAAAAAAAAAAAAGTTATTTACTTCATTATACATCTTTTACTTCATTTACTCAGTCTCAATTCTACGGATTTGCATTCAGATAAATACTAAATTTACCGCTTTTTGGGTCTGGACAGGTGGATACATGTATGCTAATTCAGCATAGTAAACGCAATTTTATTGAAACAATTATGAAATGAATAAGGGAATTTATATCAATTTAGAAAATGTGTCTAAAAAATTTTAAAGAAATTTGACCTATGTATCATGTATCGATAAAAGGATATCAACATGATCAATGAGAACCAAAATCTAGGACAGTCGGGAGTCTTAAATTTACCGCTTGCCCCAACTGTGCTTAATTCTTTCTGTCATAAGTGTACCTCACTCAATCATCATCAAGTATGCAGCTTCAAATGGTCACTCCTTTAGTGTAAATTCATTCATACAATAACCTTTACTCTTTGTGGCCTAGCTGTGGCAACAAACCTTTTGTAAGGATAGAAATTGTACATGTATGGTAATATGTATTTTATGCTTGTGACAATTTCATTAGAGGTGTTATTATTTACAGCCCAGTCAAAGAAAAACATTGTGTCTGGAATAAAATTTGTACAGAAAAGCATTCGAAAAGGAGATCATAATGGGTTTGTATATATTTCGAAATCTTTTTTTTTGGGGGGGGGGGGGTTGCTTTTATTATGTCAATATAAATGATATAAATTCCTTCATGGAAAACTTACGTGTCAGCTGGATTTTATTGCATTTAAATTTTGCAAATGCGAATTATTCATATACGTTAAATTTATTTTGAAAATCAAATTATAAATCTTATACATTTTATGAAAAAGAAATCAAGTACTTTTTACCTTGATCCTTATCATGTCAGATAAGCCAACAATAAAAAATGATTTGTTTGATGTACTCCGTCAAAATTGCCCCTACCCCAATCATTTTTTTCAGCACTTTGACTTTCTATTTTTTTTTTCATTAATTTCCATAGAAATAGAATTTTTCATTTTAAAGCTAAGGTTTATAATTTATCTCTGTAGGATGCTTTCAATTGAAAGTTTTTATAGCTACCAAATGTGTAATGAAAACAATAAACTGCTGAGTCTTCAATTTCTATGACAGTTTTCAATTTGTTCAATACTGCTATCTAAAAAAAACTGCCTACCTACTCACCTTGAAAAATGTGGGTCGGAGTACATCAAACAAAAATATTTTTAATGATGGCCTTATTGTATGTCATTGCGTCTGTTCAGATTACAATTAAATGAGTGTAAAACTACTCGTATTCTGTTAAGACTTTGTTTTTTTTCAGGATTATGATTCTGGCTGGGGATGTTTCTCCAATAGATGTCATCTCACATATTCCTGTCCTTTGTGAGGAAAATCAGATCCCATATTGTTATGTTCCATCTAAAACAGTAAGTCTTGACAAATACAATATCGATACTGCTATTTTCCATCTAAAACAGTAGATCTATAAATTCAAAATCCTTTATTAATGTTTATTGCTTTGTTCCATTCAAACCAGTAGGTCTTTATACTGTACATACATGCCAACTTTCCTGATTTAGGCGGGATTCTCCCGATCTTACCCAGCCATTCCGCTATCACGATCGTGAAAGCAAAATTACCCCTAAATCCCGATTTGACCATTTTTCGACCAAAATTTCCAATTTTCCGACTTGACCCGAGTTTGAAATCGGGACAATCGTGAAATCTCGTTAACCTCTCGTATTATCAACCAATGAAATTTCCCGAATTCGTCACGCTTAGGTCGCGTGTAATTTACCTATCGAGGATACCTACCTGTGTGTACTGTGACGATTACGCAGTCAATTATGAGCATGTATCATGTTTTGATAACAATTAATGCTATTCTGGGGTATGGTGGAGATCAATCGGGAATCTCGCATATCGATTCACCATGGGTGCAACTCCACCACGAAAAAAGAGTAGATCAGCAGCGAAATACCGGGAAAAATGGGAGGCTGACGCAAGATTCACCGGATGGTTGGCGAAGTCAAAACAAGGACAGGCTCATGCATACTGCAGAGTGTGCAACAGAGACTTCAGGGTTGACCATGGTGGACTGAATGACGTGACAAAGCATATGAACACAGCCCTGCACCAAAATACTTTGAAGTCGCAGAATTCGACACCGTCTGCCAGAAACTTCTTCACCAGTTCAAAACTCGACCAAGATGAGGGTAAGTTGACAGATATATTATCTTTGTGATAATGAACAATTTACATGCATTAACTTTGAATTAATTTTATATTTAAAAAAAAATCTAAATTCTTTGTTCAATGTTGTAGATGTGATACGTGCCGAGGTTTTGTTTGCCAATTTTGTGGCACAGGATAACCTCCCGTTTCTTGTCGCAGACTGCTTTACCAGGTTCCCAGTTATGGGGAAAGTAGTGAAAGCCATGCTTACTGTGCCAAACTCCAATGCTGAATGTGAGAGAGTATTTTCAATGGTGAAGAAAATACAGACAGAGACCCTGCTAATTTGGATAACAAAACCATCTGTGCTCTGCTTACCACCAAAGTTAACAACATTCAGCATTGTAATCTTGTGAAACCTTCCAAAGAATTGCTCCAGTCAGCAAAAAAGGCCTGCTTGTCTTATAACAAAGACTGTGTCTCTTAGTGGTGATTAATAAGTGTATTATTGTTTGTATCTTGACTGTGATTGAAACTTCTGTTTTACCTATTCTTACCTGAATTTTGATAGTAATAACTACATGATGTTCTTTTAGTTTGTAACATTTTATTTATTTGAATCATAATAGTAGCTATTTTAGTGACCAGATTTTAACAATGCAATATTGTTTTCTTTATGCATCATGTGCCACTGTATTTTTCTTAAATTTGTTATTAAATTGTTGAAACTGTACAAGGTACTAGTAATAACTACATGTACATGATGTTCTTTTAGTTTGTAACATTTTATTTGCTTGAATTATAATAGTAGCTATTTTAGTAACCAGATTTTAACAATGCAATATTGTTTTCATGTTTCATGTGCCACTGTATTTTTCTTAAATTTGTTATTAAATTGTTGAAACTATACATTGTTTTGGTTGCTGAATCAGATTCAGACTTATGTTGGTAGGTGCATTAAATGATATGAAAGAAATCAGAAGAAAAATGTTCAAATGAGGAACATGTATTATGTATAATAAATAATGATATAGATATCAGTGAAAACACAATTAGATTCAGGTTCACGACAAAATGTCGCGAATTTAAAGCTTTGAAAATTGTCGTCACGTGCAAAATCCCCCATGGGAATTTTCAAAAGTTGGCATGTATAATACATAGAAAATTTATACTGCTAAGTTCCATCTAAAATAGTAGGTCTTAATTAATGCAAAATCCTATATTGCTATATTCAGTATTGAAAACAGTAGATTTTATTATTAATACAAAATCCTATATTGCCATGTTCCATTTAAAACAGTAGGTCTTTATAAAATCCAGATCCCATACTTCTATGTTCCATACAATACAGTAAGACATAAAGTTTAGGATGAGCTTTTTGTTGATAAGAATATTTAAAATATGTTTATGTAGTCAGTTCATTTGATATAAAATATAGTTGTATATAATATTTCAGGATCTCGGTGCTGCCTGTGGAAACAGAAGGTCCATGAGTCTTCTGATTGTTAAACCTAACAAGGATTATGAGGAACTGTTTGAGGAATGTAAAAGTGAGGTAGAAAATCTCCCCATGCCAGTCTGAGGAACAAGTTAGTCGTGCTGAGGACCAAGAGAAAATCATCGTTACTGACTGTAAAATAGTGTTCAAGACATTTCAGTCATTAATTCCATGAGATGTTTCATAGCTACATGTAGGACTGTACATGTTAAAGATTGTTTTAAATTTGTTGTAAGTTTGTGTACATGTACATCTTGTTACAAATGAAATTTGTTAGGCAGGATACATTTATATGTATGTTCATAATCTGCTTAATATTATATGTCTAAAAAAAATGTCTTGAAATCAATCAATAATTTTACAATTCTATTTGTGAAAATAACAGTTATAAAATTACATGCTTTATATGTAAAAGATTACGTGTAGATGCATGTACTGGGTATTAGAAACTGTTTTTATTGGAGATTAGTACTGTATTTTGGGTTCATCACTGCCTCATCTTTTACAGTGACTAACAGTGTGTTATATTTAATAAAAATAGAAACTTGAATTTCTTAATGCAATTTATTGGTAATCTCATAATAGTGTTAATTAGGAGTACATGTACACATATCACCAATATTAGAATTATTTTACTGCTACATTCAGTTTATATAAATGTGGTCAGTTTTATATGGGTTTTAAATGTCAAATACCCCCAGGTACATGTAGTTATCAGTTTTATCAGATCTGTAGAAGTTTGTATGCAGTACACGATAAAGTACATGTACTAGAAGTTTGGTATAAAAGACAGATCTGTATATATTTAGGCCATCTTTAAAAAGAGCCATAGCTGCCTTACCGACGATTCGGCCTACTCAAGTATTTAAAAGGAAATCACCTGTTTCTATTTATAGATACATGCACCTTTTCAATTCAAATCAAACTACATGTATGTAATCATTTGTGAACCAGTGTTATATTTTCATAGTTGCAAGTTTGTTGCATGACAGTAATTTTACTTGTCCAATACTCTTATTCTACATATAAACAAGATTGTTTGAAAATTTTAAAAATAAAACAGGCTAGCTGCTATGACTTTGGGTCATTAAAATAGTTTAAGACTGTTTTTCCCCAAGATACTTTGTATTGTATGTTGTATTATATATCTCTTTTAGAAATTATTTATACATATATATTATAAAATAATAAAAGAAAACATATGAAAATGCAAACACAGAAAAAAATAATAAAATCGTGGGGTAGTAACACGCACGCTGAGACTCGAACTCACGATCATTATATCTTCTATCCAGCAATCATACCACTACGCCACGAAGTCTTGGTAATAAAATGGATAAAATTAAGACAGATCGTTGAATTTTGGAATAATTTTGGAAGAAAAGTTAAATACATATTTTCAACATTTTCAATATGAAGACCACTTTTAACCAAAATTATCTAAACATAATGAAGTGCAGTCATATCCAAATAAAATTATTCAGAAGTTGTTTTTCTGGTTAAGGGTGGTCTTTTCCTACAGTTTGTCATTGTTTAGGGGGGTACCTCAGTATTTACTATATTCTCCATATAAACTGAACGATTTTTATAACTATCATATGAGGGAACTATTAATAATTGGGTATTATTTTTGTGTGAGTTGCTTTAAGGCATGTCTAAACTAACATTGTATGACAAAATTTTGGTTAAACAATGTATTTAGAAAATCACTACTAGAGTAGGCGAAAGTGACTATCAAATGCGCTATGGCTCTTTGTTTGGTTTCCCTTCCCAGACCTACTGACTAAAAATGGCCTTACTCTAGAAAATGATATATTTTTTTCTTTTATTTCCTAAATTTTCATCTTGTCAACATGTTTGTCGAAATTTTCTTGGGAAAAAAATCCCCACATACCTCCTGAGTCCTGACCCAATTTTTTTAACCCCGGGAGAGGGCAAGCAAACATTATTTTAAAGTTGGCCTTCTCTAAATATTTTCAAAAAATATGGATTCTCTCTCAATAATGCAACAAACTTAATAAATGCAAAGGCATACATAAGAATCATCAACAATGTTATTTGCAACAAAAAAAATCCACTGATGACAACAGATATGAACTTGTTTTAATATAAATATTAAGGAAATGTTCACTATAATAAGTGATCCCTTGCTGCCACTGTCATTCTGCACCATGACAGGGCACATTCACAACACAACACGGCGCTGGCGGTGAGAATTCCCGCTATCAGAATGAAGAAGGCGGTCTGTACGTCGTCCGGCTTGATCGTGTGTTGACTCAGTAGCTGACTGACATCACTACAGTTATTCTGAAGCTTGTATTTCTGATGAATACTTCCCAGTATTCCACTGTCTTGTAGCTGAGCTAATCTATATAAAATGTTGATTTAATTAATAATCCAGTATTAGTTACACCATAACGAAAATATCCAAACCAATCTGGACAAGGTAAATTGACAATTTTATAACTGGATTGCACAGGCACTCGTGAAATAAAATATTTTATAACCCATAGGATAACATTGTTATACAATGAGTTATTATTTTATTTTTACAGAAACAAGTGTCTGTACTGTCCAGACATGAATATATCGTAAAACGAAGGTTTTAAAAATATCCTTTAAAGACTGTGTGGTGTCGTCAAAAAAATGTTGAACAATTTTTAAAAAAAACAAAAAATACCCCTAAACTGTCTATATTCGAAGATCTTTTTCCCTGTGTGTGTGTGTGTGGGGGGGGGGGGGGGTTATAATTCTTGGAGGGAACTCTAGCCTTTAAAGTAAGAACCCCCTCTCCCATGCTGCGCAAACCATTGGCATGTCATCTAAATATGGGAGATGACTGCCATTAATTCGTTCTGTTAATGAGAGTTGTCTCCTTTAGAGCCATTGCTTCTTTGGAGTATTACTCTCTCGATACTTGTATTGATAAAGACTTATGCTATTTAAAAAAGAACAAAACCTTATACGTATAGATCACTAACGTGTAACATTTTCTTTAAAATATGCTTTAGAACAAAGTAAAATTATTTTTTTCCAACTTACTTCAGAGAAAATATCTCTTTGAAAGGCGAGTCCTCGGGAACACCAAACGCGCTGTTATCCTCCACAAAGCGCTCTGTAGAGATCAGGGACCGACAGTCGGAGAAACTGAGGGTCTGAAGATGGGGGAGGGGCGAGATGAAGACGTACTTCTCTGTCCTTAACTTCCGGAAGTGAACCTTATCACTAATGGATAGCACGTCAGGATCTTCCCTGGCAAATTCTTGTGCCCCATTGTAAATTTTCTGGTAAGTTCCGATTTTAGATTTCTGTGAAAATATGTCAGTTGAAATTTGATTTGTGTATAAAAGAAGAAATGGAAGTGAGTGTACAGAATTGTACAGTATCTTTACTATTGAGCAGGTGTTGAGAGAGTGTGTAATTTTTGTAGTAGCATTTGAATTGTTTTGCAAGATGAGAGGATATACCCGAAGCACCGAATCCAAGTAAGTACCCGCAATATAGCCCCATTTGTACTCGGATTGCGCAAGCAGTTCGTCTAGAGTTTGGAAGTGTATTTTCTCCCTGCGAGCCAATGCCATGCTAGCTACAAGACTTCCGCAGTACACCGCGGCTAGGGATACACACGACACCCAGAAAATACACGTGAACACTCGTCCACTCGTAGATGACGGTAGTCTGTGGCCCGCTACAAAAAACACTAATAGACAGTTAATTAAGGTTTAGGGACATTGTTAGTATTGTACGTGACTGTACAGTCGAGCCTCGTCCATCCATACAATGTATTCCCGAGTAAATCGTCCGGAGCGTATTGATCATTGAAATAAGAGTCCGAAATACCGAGGCTCGACTGTATTAGTGAAAATATATAAACCATTAACCAATGACGATAAAAACATAGGGGCTGATAATTTACTATATTTGATTTTACTTATCACAATATATATTATGATTAGGCAATCTTTAAAATAATTTTGCTTGCCCTTTCCCGACTCAGGGTACATTATTGGGTCAGCAGTAGGTAGGTGGGAATGTGTTGACGGAAAAAGACCTGGAAGGGGAGGGGGTAGAAAAAATATCGTGCCCTGGAATGTAATATGAAGAAGTTTTGAGTTGGGCCATTTTTAGTCAGTATAGGTCGGGAGAGGGCAACCAAACAATTTTTTAAAGATAATCTTATGTAAAATCAAATACATGTAAGTGTGTTACCTTCCCCCCCCCCCCCATGGATAAAATTTTTCTATTAGAATACCCGATACCAAGTAAGGATATGCATGCTGTATTGGTAAACCTATTTAAGAAGTATTACTGAAAGACAAATGGGTACCTTGAAGCACTAATGCTCCATAAATATACTCAAACATATCAACCAGGTCTCTTTTCTCTTCGGGTTTTCTTCCAGTCCAGTTCCAATTGAATCGTTCCATTGCATACAGTAATAAACTGGACAAAATTAGAGCGGTTGATATGGCGTACAAAACAGGTGTGGTGAACATGTCCAAGTAAATTCTCCATTTGACCGTTTTAGGGTCGGGCATGCGCATCATGAATGCGAAGTTTGAATAGAAGAAAGGAATGGTGAAGTCCACCACTTTTTTACGATCTTCTTGTACAGTTAGTGGTACCATAGCAATGTCAACCTCCTAAAATTGTCCAAAGAAATGTATAAAGCGTATTCCGGCAACAATTCATAATGCACATACAATAACATACTCAGGTACTTTCTATTAATTGTTTCTATTAATACATTATTTAAAATATGAGCTCTCTACAAACGTATACCGATTTCTCCTGAATAGATCTATATAAATATAGAGAAGAAGTTTGACCAATGTTGATACAAATTTCTAAACATTTGCTATGCTCTATGTTCACAGATAGTAAATTTTTTTAATTATTAAAAGCGTCTGTATGACTTGGACGTACTCTTCTGTGAAGCATTCCGATCATCCCCGTCCAGTTCCCGTCCTCCTTCAGAATCCCCCACTGTCCGTCTTCCGGGGGGATAACTCGATAACTTCAAAGAAAGGAAATAATTTTATCCTTAATGCGCTCAGTCAGAGGAGGTCTGATTTAAAAAAAAATATTTTATATTATGTCCGATCAATACACTCATTAAAATAAAAAAAATTATAATGAAGTGTGTTTATGGTACATTATGGTATATAATATATATACATGTGTACTTACGTAAAATTGAGTTTATTGCGGAGAATTCGTACGATATCTCCACACACGCCTCCTGCTATTACAAGATTTCCATCCTCCTTAGCAAGTTCCACATAACCCTTGTACTACATTATAGAATTTAACACGATTCAGAATATGCACGGTAAATTATCAACCAATTGTCAGACCAATCACAGGTACTTGGGTCGTGGTTTATAAATATGTATAATGTACCTTACTGATACTTTTTTTACATATCAGTAAGGTACATTATACATATTTATAAACCACGACCCAAGTACCTGTGAGATCAATGACAAATACATTTTTTTTTCAAATTTACTTTACACACCTGGATAGCAGTAGTTAGGAGTTGTCTCCCGTTGAAGCCAAACTTGGCATTGGGAAAAAGATCTAGTTTTATTTTCCCAAAACAATCCCAATCAATATCAAGTTTCTCAAACTCTCTCGTGTTGTTTTCCCGCCACATCAGGGCCGACAAAGTATATCTTTCTTCCTCAGTTTTCTCAAAAAGACCAAAAAGTTCAACACAATTTTTATTAGCAGATGGTTTTGCATTTTCTTTTGCAGATAATGATGGCAGATACAATTTTTTATCGGAAAAATGTACTCTAGCTTACAACGAGTTTTCGTAGTTACCTGTATGAGTAAAACATTGTCCATGGATACATCTGAGCAATAGCCCGTGTTGTTTTCTACGTTTATAGAATCCTCCTCCACTGAGAACACGATCCAGTACGACATCGCATACAGTGTGGTCCTACGGATGTTCTCTGGTTGTGTATCAAAGGCTGTTGCCTTTACGATGAATATGGAATAAATATAATATTGCTTTAATATTAAAATTACCACAGGGAATAGAACAATACTTAAAAATGAAATCATTTTTATATATTCCTCTTAATATCCTTATTTATATTTAAATTCAACCAGGAAATTCAAAGAATTATGGTCCCCCGCTTTCGTTGTCTTAATGGATGTGATGCCATAATTTAAGGCATGCTCTGTTAAATATGAACTTTCTATTATATGTCATTCACCAAAGTATTTTTTTTTCTCTTTCGAAAATTAGTTCAAACATGAAGTTAAGGCCAAGACGTCAAATTATAGAATGCTCGGAAAAACACTGTCTCGGGTAATGCTCGTGTCAAATATGAAAACCCTATCTCTTTTCAATCATAAGAAAAACATCACATTTTTTAAAAGAAGGTCAAACTTCAAGGTCACGGGGTAAAAAAAATCAAAATATTTCGAAAGGTCTTAAAATTGTCACAGGTAATATACATATGCAACACTAGTATCTACTAATATGAAATACCTATCTTTTGTCTTTCCAAAGTTCTGAAGAAATGATAAAATATTTGAAAAGTAGGTCAAAATTCAAGATCAAGGTCACGGGGGGGGGGGGGTCAAAAATATGATATATTTGGATAGTTCTTGTTACAGGTAATGTACATGTAGATATAAAATACGAAAGCCCTAACTATCTTTTCTCATTCAAAAGTTTTGACCAAGGTTAAAAGTTTTGTGATCGACAGACGGTCAAACTCAAAGTCAAATGAGATTAAATGCCCCCATCGCTTTCACGAACGAGGGGGACAACAAACATACTAGTATATCCACCCTGTATTTAGAGCCCCAAAATGGCCGAAGGCAAATCCAAACTGAAGCAACATACAACTGCTGCCTTAATTCAAGCCTTTCCAATGAAACATATGGAGATAACGAACAATGCTAAAGAATCAAAAGTTCATAAAACAATACAAAATAGGAGCAGAGAAATACGGACCTCCAAAACATCAGAGGTGGGTTTTAGAATACAATGGATTTTAAAAGGGAAAAACTACCTTTTCCAGGACAGCTCGAGTAAAGGAATGGTTTCCAATGACAACAGCGTGTACATTTGGATCTCTGTGTTGCCATAGTGATTCTATAAATTCCTCGGTGGGGTCAATCGTCCGATGTGACGTCTGCACATACAAGTCCCCCAACAAATCGGCAATTCTATAGGCTATGGAAGCTAAAAGTGCAATAAAATTTTAAACAGATTAATATGAATATTAAAAAGATGTCTGTGCATGTCTACCAGCTCTAAAAAATAGGTATAGAGAATAATGGTTAATAGTGCTGAAATGTGCACTTTGAGACATATACGACAAATCTCGAGATTTTCTCCCTTTGGTATTGTATAAGGTTTTTAATATAGTTAGTATTAAATGAAACTGATGGTTACCAGGTTAAAAAATGTATATACTAAAACAAGAAAAAAGTTACCATGGACCCCCCCCCCCTGGAAAACGCTGACCCCTCCTGGTTAACGCGAATATGTGTGAAATGGGTATGAAAATTGAAAGATTTGAGGCAACGGAGGTCACCCCCCCCCCCCCCCCCCACGAAATAGGTTTTTGACGTTTGGGCGAGTTTAGGTTTTTTTTTTTTGCTTGTCAAGAAATTTCTGGGATTGGAATTTTTTTTTTGACTGGGGTGGACCCCCCCCCCCCCTGGAAAAAATTTCTGGATCCGCGTCTGTGGTTATACTGTATAAATACAGAAAATCATTATGAGATTGATCATGTGACCAATCCGTATTTACTGCCCCAATGAATGCTTTACGATGGTACCTTAAAATTCTTTTAAGATATTTCCGAAAATCATTGCCTTCAGTCTAAAGAGTAATATTACAACAAAAGAGGTTATTTTAACCCAATTCGTCCATAAAATGTCCACAGTACTAAAATATAATAAGTATTCGTGTAATTCTATAAAAACTTACCTTTATCGTCCGGGAACAGTAAAGTTGCGTGGTTCCATTTAACAGCTTCAATGGCTTTCCCTAGGAACTCTAACCCTTCACTTACCGAACTGTTACCGGTATCATTGAATGTACCGGCACCACTAGTTTCCAAGAAGTGATTATCTCGTAAACACGAATACGGTTCTTCTTTGGAGGAATTGTTCAGACAAGAGTTACCTGGAATAACGTAATTACCAAAATTACGTATTCAAAATTATCAAAGTTTTTAAAGAGATATTTTTTTAAAAAAAAGATTAAAAATATAATGAAATGGGTTTTCTTTTTCGCATAACTTTTATAAATGGAAAATAGTAGAAAAAAGAGATTTTCACGCTGCACGAAAAATTCTTTTGGGATAATTTACAACTGACCAAAATTTCTGTCCAAAATTAAGTGCGAGTGAGAATCAAAAATATGAATTTGAAGGTAAAAGAAGAAAAGAATCATTCCAAAGGAACAAGACTCAATCGGAGCACATTTATAATGGTATCTAAGTGTGCGGTGCGCAGCTGTATTATGTACTTTTATCCGTTTTATGCAATCAATGAAAGTCTCCGGGGAACATTGGATAATCAGCAGGTTAATTACACTATGTGAACTAAACGCTTTTAATTCTTAAATAAAAAAGTGATTTTGATAAAAAAAAAAAACTTGAAATAAAAAAAATGGTTTGTATATATCATCAATTAGTACTTAATCACCACTGGCTATATTACAAAAGGAGCAAGAAACAAAACAAAAAATCGAGTATTTTTATTTTCAGAAACACCATGACTGAACAAAACAGATAAAAGTTTCTGTGCTTGAGCAAATATTTGTTTAGAGTACTCTAGGTGTTTTTGCAAGAGCACAAGTACGTGACAAATACAGAACACAGAATTAGCTCAATTTGATTCTGTAAATAGTATTCACGTGGTCTCTGTCTCCCTACCATGCCTACAGAGTCATCGTCGCTGGAAACAGTCGAGCTTCGATAGTCCGCACACCAATAACCTGGATGCCTCTCCTTCATGGAGATCTTTTTGTGGGTAACAGAATTTATACCGGTATTTAAAATTTACTACTCCAGTATAAATATTTATACAGTAGTATGTTTCAGTAATCTTGTCGCTTGCCCAGTCCTGAAGAAACAAGGCTCTTGTAGTGTAGATACAACTGCTATACAATGGCAACGTTCATTGTTTTTTTTATAGTATGGTATAAGGCACTTGTACCTGCACCAGTCAAATACTTTTTAAACAGCTGATACTTATCTAGGAACCATCAGACTTCATCCATAAGGTCAGAAACTACTACGGCTATAACCAATATTGTCTTGTACAAAGTCACATACCGCCATACGTGATAAAAAAGAAGAGCTCTACAGCCCCTGCTACCTGCATTTATTATGATAATAAAAATGTAAGATTGCACTTCCATAATTGATGCCTGATGCCATTGGCTCTATGAAATAGTTGAGGATAACGAACAATAATCGATCTCTAAGACATTACAAAAATAGATTATAAAACATGAGTACCAAACAATTTCAGCAGAGTGGGATCAGGTGCCGAGGAGGAGTAAGCATCCCCTCTCACGCCTGTCGTAAACCCTTCTTGTATTGATCAGGTAGATAGAACTGATACTAAAGATCCGTTAGAATTTAACTAAGATATTCATCACGAAATGTTGATAGATTCAATGTACAGACATGCATCACTGGTATAGTTGACATTTTGACAAAAATCCGAGGACATAAGCGTAAAAGACTTTCACATTGTTAATTTTTTAATTGCAAACCAATCTTTAAACACCGGGTACATATATTTTTCAAAAGAAAATTGGTTACGTTCTATTTGTGAAGCACTTGGAGCACTTGATTGGAGAGCATAGTTCTTGTAATATGTCTTCATTTTCTATATCAGAGACAAGAGGAGACCTCTGTGAATGTTTTATCCATCCCATCACGCATCGGAGTGTCCTCAGTGTTCAAAGCAGACTGGTACAATTATCCAGTGGGTGGTTTGAAATCACTTTTATATATTGTATTGAACTCCAGGGCAGTTAAAACTAATTAATGAAAGCTTGTGACATTAGTACGAACATGAATGGTGATTTCCCCGATATGTATATTTTTTTTGATTAGTTAAAAAACATTTAAAAAAGCCCCTAAAATGTTTTGGTCTCCGGAATTTGCCACAGATTTGGACCTACATGTTATGTATGACGCTTAAGGTCATAGCAATGAGGGGGTTTTATTGCTCCATTAACGCCCTCTATGACTTTCGTTTGTAGAATCTCATCCGTGTGACATGTGACTTTCACTTCTAGTGCCAGATTTTTGGCAGAGGAACGTTCACGTCTCAGTTTGAACGAGGCGCTGCAAACAAAAACCGAACAGAATCTCCTGGTCAATAAGCGAAAGCCCCTACCCCTAGGCTACTGCGACCGAAACTGGCTTTAATGAAAAGAAATCACTGTACAATGTATTTACTAAAATGGGGAAATCACAGTTGAAAAGTACTCAGATTACTTTATCTAGTAAAATGCTGGAAATACTTGTATCGAATACAAAATGCAGTATAGAAATAATGCTAAACCAAACTAGTGCTAATTGTAACGGGGACCGTTACAGATGTTCCCCAAACGCTCCCCAACTCCCTTTTGGTGCCCTATTCCCTGTAAGCTTCATTGAATAAGACAAATTCTATGCATTTGAGACTTTAACAACGTTTACCCAGAAGTGTACCAAGTTCTATCAAATTTTAGCACTGCACGCGTGCGCATGTGAATGCATGTGCATAATGACCATATCATCTTGTCTACACAATCTATATATTTTCATGTAATAAATATTAAAGTATTTAATCCAAAAGTTTTAAAAAATACGCTTATTCAAGTGTATTTTTGATTTTACTCATTTCATGTGCACACACGTGCATACAAGAGCATGGTACCATACCTTCTTGTAGAAGTCCGTTAAATCTATCTATGTTCTTAATCCCACCCCATTTGTTTGAAAACCAAGGGAGTTATAGCTTTTTAAAGTTTAAGCCAATCAGATTGCAGCGCACGTACACGCACGTGTATGCATGTGCATGGTGACCATACCTTCTTGTAGAAATCCATTATATCTATCTATGTTCCAAATCCCATCCTGTTTGGTTGAAAACCAAGGGAGGTATAGCTATTTAAAGTTTAAGCCAACCAGATTGCAGTGCACGTGCATGCACGTGTTTTCATGATGATTGCTATATATCATGTTGTAGGATATCCTAATGCATGGCTATGTTTAAAATTTCAAAGGATTTTGTCAAAAAACAAGAAAGATATTGAGACTTTAGTTTCAGCCAATCAGAGCGAAGCGCACGTGAATGCGCGTGAGATCTTGATATTTCGACCATGTCATATTGTCTATGCTACTAATATATCCTTATATTTTGAGTTTCAAAGCATTTCATCAAAAATGTAAAAAGTTACGCCTATATTAATTAAATCGGTCATTTCACGTGTTGCACGTGCACGCTCTTGCAAGCACGTGCGCGCAAAATGACCTTCATTCCGCAAATTTACATAACATGCCTACTGACCCTAAAAAGGTTTTATCTAAGTCGGATGTGTAGTTTACAAGATCACTCCGGGACAAAAAAGTACCCAGGAAGAAGAAGAAGAAGAAAAATAATAATAACTAGAAAGTCTGCTATTGCAAGCAATAGCATATGTCGCCCCGTATTGGACAAGACTTTCATTTTTATCATCACTAAAACAATGGTCCATTAGCTAAGCTTTGACAACCATCCAGTCGTATGATCAGTTCTTTCCGTTAGAAACGGAAGACCTTAATTGGGTACATCCCACTCATTATTTTTAGAATCTGTAGGAGAAGAAAGTAGTGCAGGAAAAAAATTACAAGTCCAAAATTGCAGACTTGCATACAAGAAATTGGGCAGATGTACTGAACTGAGCCTCATACTTGTTAATTGGCAGTATCTTTCCTACCAAAAAAGCTTGGCAAATATTATTTATTAAGAAGATCAGCCGAATTATTTTGTGTATTAAAACGCCAGTGAGAATTCAGAAAATTCCCTACTTTCACTTCAATTTGTAGAGGTTCTGCCGGAAAACGAATCTGACATGCCACCTTCAATTCGAGTACATCTGAATCTTTTTTTCTGTTTCGTTTCTATGGCAACTGTGAGCGACTCATTACAATTTTTTTAAAAGTAGAAATCACTTTGACACATTGCAAGGAATATTGAAAGTTTCAAAACGATTGCCTGCGTAGTTATTGAGAAAATCGAAATTAAAGAATTTTAACTTTCACCTGAAAATTCGATTATTTGAAAATTTTAAATGCGAGTACTACAGATTCACTTTAATTTTTGTACAGGTTTCCAGGTTCTGTGATCGTCCTTTGAGGAAAGTTTCAGGAAGGAAAACGATGATCTGACATGCCACCTTCAATTCGAGCATTTCTGCATTGTACAGGTCTGATGTTTCTTATGAGATGATAAATCATGTGTAAACTTTCTCAGTTTAGCGGAATCATGAACATTTTCGGCGAGATGAATGTTTTGTTTACAGTAGTGATCAAGGCTTAGCGCACCTGTATAGGAGCGGATCCAAAGATTTATGAATGAATAAAAACTATGGAAATAACGTACCAATTTTCTAATTTATTCTTGCACTATTTAATGAAATTAATAATATACAAGTAATAGATATACCAAAAAACGCGAAATGCTAATAAATGAAGTTGACAATCGTTATTTTTTATATAGAAAAAACAAAATAATTATAAAATCTAGAGACAAGACAGAAGAAGAATGACTGTTGGCAAACTATCAAATCACATCAGGAGAACTGAATTTTATGAATGAAACTTTTAAAACGTTACCTGTAAATTGTATATGTTATATCTGTGTATTCTACCTGGCAGTGCGCTTCAAAAAAAGGGGGGGGGGTGTCTTGAACATAGTACCTTACGTTTGAACGGTAAGGGCTAGGGCTTTCGTATTTCAAATATGTAATCCTTGTGAAAAGAACTTTTATTGGACACCAAGAACTTTGACCCTTTGACCTAGACCTTGGAGAACACATGTGTACATCTGAATCTTTTTTTCTGTTTCGTTTCTATGGCAACTGTGAGCGACTCATTACAATTTTTTTAAAAGTAGAAATCACTTTGACACATTGCAAGGAATAAACACTGAAAGTTTCAAAACGATTGCCTGCGTAGTTATTGAGAAAATCGAAATTAAAGAATTTTAACTTTCACCTGGTTTCCATGGCAATAATCGATTATTTGAAAATTTTAAATGCGAGTTGCATAACTACAGATACTAATCATTAAAATAAGAAAAGTTTCATGACGAACGTTTAAGGGACCAGAGAGAACACTCTCGGACAAAATTTGTCGCTTTTTACAGGTTTCCATGGCAACGGTAGACATATTGGAACTGAACAACCTCACTGCACAACTACAACCAGTGATCGTCCTTTGAGGAAAGTTTCAGGAAGATTGTCCCAGCCATCTCCGAGAAACAGCCTGGATAAAAAAAACATGCGTACAATATCAATATGTCGTCCCCGACTTCGTTCGGGGCGACATAATAACTCCTGAATTTTTCCCATCAATAACTCCTGAATTTTCCCCTTCAATTCGAGCATTTCTGCATTGTACAGGTCTGATGTTTCTTATGAGATGATAAATCATGTGTAAACTTTCTCAGTTTAGCGGAATCATGAACATTTTCGGCGAGATGAATGTTTTGTTTACAGTAGTGATCAAGGCTTAGCGCACCTGTATAGGAGCGGATCCAAAGATTTATGAATGAATAAAAACTATGGAAATAACGTACCAATTTTCTAATTTATTCTTGCACTATTTAATGAAATTAATAATATACAAGTAATAGATATACCAAAAAACGCGAAATGCTAATAAATGAAGTTGACAATCGTTATTTTTTATATAGAAAAAAACAAAATAATTATAAAATCTAGAGACAAGACAGAAGAAGAATGACTGTT